TATGCTCAAGATACCGCCCAGTATCTCAGACCACTTCCTATTGCCTATTAGTTAAGATGCAAGAACTTTCAGCTCCTTTTCTAACACAATGTCTGCTGAATGCTGCCTTTCTTCCCACCACGGCGATAATGAACTAAACCTCTGAAACTGTCAGTGAACCACCACAATTAAATGTTTTCCTTTGTAAGATTTACTGTGGTCATGGTGTCTCTTCACAGGAATAGAAATCCTAACTAAGGCATTCCTTTTCCAGAGGATCTGTTACCCTCTTCTGACCTCTGAGGGGACCAGGCACATACTTGGCAACCAGACTTACCTAAAGGCAAAACATACATACAATAAAAATAAAGATATAATATTAAAAATAATGTACTATAAGTCAAATGTAGTGACACATTTCATGTAATCCCATAGTGTAGTAGGCTGAGGCCAGGAGATGACGAATTCAGACAAACAAGTAGCATATTAATGCATATAAAAGCAACTTTCAGGTGTGTTACCTTTGTTTATGCTCTATTTGTTTAATTATATAAAGATGTGTTGCCTTTGTTTCACCCTTGCCTGCCTAAGGCACCTGATTGATCTAATAAAAAACTGAACAGCCAGTAGCATTCAAAACTTAAAAAAAAAAAAAGCTCTTTCTTGGTGGTTGAATATGATACAGTTACCAATATTCACCCAATGGCCATGTATGCCTATTGCAATGTTTTCCATTATAACATGTATGTGACAGCAGTTATCCTATGCTTCCTGTCTTGTCCATTAGACACGTATTTGTGTTGGCTACATAGAATTTCTGCATCAAAGGGGAAGCACATTTAAAAGTATTGTAAGTTTACAGGGCTGTCTCTCCGAGGTAGAGCTTCATCAATAGCACAACATCTTCCCCTGCACTTCGCTCCTTGTTTTATCTACATTGTCTTCCTGTCGGTTCTGAACTTTTTATTAATTGGGGGAATACACCATAGTAATTTTGATGATTTTGCATTAGAATCAGAGTTGTTGGGATTGATTTAAAAATCACTGGGCTTTATAAGAAAAAAAAATAAATGTAAAAACCACTGGGTTTGTTAGTGCTCATAGATACTGGGATCAAAATCGAACTCCAGGGTTCTAAGTTACTAAAATGGTAAGATTTTTCTTTTCTCCCTCTCCTCCTCCTCCTCTTCTTCTGTTTTTTCCACATATAAATACTTGAAATTACTTTAATAGTATACTTTGCAGTAAGTCAAATTATTTCTGCTCAATTTTATTCAACAGAAGATTTTGAAATAGACAATTTACCTGTAATTGTGAATGCAGGTTTTTGGTTTTTGGTTTTTTTTTTTTTTTTTGTAAATATTGCTAAATGCTGGGTAAAAAACAACACTTAAAGTTATCTTTAACAAAGCAGAATAGTTGAAATAGAAAAGTTGCTCCAGTGATTTTTAGTGTATTTGAGTTTTCAGATGTTTATCAACTTGAAGCATAGTAAGAATTGTTCAACCATTACTTGGCAACCTGCAAAATTTTTGCTGTATAAGCTAACGGACATTTTACATTAAGAGATAACTCATGCAGGAATTCTTAGGACAATTTAAATTATGATGAATGAACATTTCTGGTCCGAAATATTGTGATTTATCTGCTCTTCCTCTAGAGTGCCCCTCTACTTCTGGTCTTGTTACATGGCCATTCCCTTTGTTGGTTGTATGTGTTGTACATTTTTCCAACTGCTATGTGTGAACCCAAACAATATGTCAGCATTGTTTGTTATACTCTTCAAATATTTTCTTTTTAAGTGCAAATCTATTTGTATACTTACAAATTTTGAAAACATTTTTTGTGAATAAAGCTTTAAAAAGCAAAGAATGTTTTTGTGGTACCTTATGGGAATCAAATTATTTCAAAAATGGATTTCTTTTTCCCTTCAGATGGAATAAATTCCCATTCCTAACTCATGTGTAATGAGAGGGTAGTCTGTACATTTCCACATGACTATTCCTGCTCAGTTTTCCATTTAAAACATTAGTAATCAGCAATAAATGTAGGTACTAAGTGTTTTGCTTTTCATAAACTGCTCTAAATCCATCAAATTAAGTATAGTTATTAGAAATAACAAGTATTAGAACTTTTTGATTGACAAAAATAACTCTAGCTGAGCTAGATGTGTTAATGCATTCCTTCTGTCTCATCCTTGAAACTGACCTCTGACTGCTCATTGCATTTGAAGCTTTTGTTAGTCCAAAGGACATTACACACATTTGCTTCTCACTCTATTTTCTTCTACTGCAAAGTGAGCTTGGATGCCTACCAAATGTAAATGTGCCTATTTGCTTATGATGTCACTGGGGAGCAAAACTATGCCTCACACATGCTTGGTCAGCACTCTGTCGCTGAGCTCTACCCCTGACTTTTGAAAAGACTTAAATGTTGAAGTTAGCTGATCTTTGCTGTGTAATATTGTATGGAAAATTGATATCATTCTACTTGTTAATCTTCATCAATTAAACACTATTTCTTACATTTTATATTGCTTTAGAAAATAAATTGTTACATAAAAGAGCTCATATACTTGTTAATTTTGTTTATGGAGAATTACTTTTTATACTCCGAGGGTAATTACTGATCGTTTACCATCTGTTTCTATTAATCAGTCTTTTTATTCTCCCCAGTCAGTGATATTATACTACATTTTATGTGAGATCATTTCTTCCTCTTCGATTATGATGATTTTGACATGTAGGAAATGTGCCACAAATTCTATGATCTTCTGGTAGTTATATTCTTGGCATAATATGAGCCTGGGTTCCAGTCCTTATAAAGTATTTTGGGTGGTTAGTGAAATTAGTAATCCCTCTTAGTTGTTTTTATAAAAAACTCTTGTTTTTATTTAATATTTCATAGTAGCTTGTGCTGTTCTTTTCTAAAAACATAAGCTTTTGTATTTTTAAAAATTCTAACAAAAAACAGAGAAAACTTTACTGAATTCTCAATGTGTTCATGAATTATAGGAATGATCACATGTAATTATTAAATTGTTAATTGTTTAATGACCATACTGAATAGGTAAGGAAGCTCAAGCTAAAATGAGTGTGTTCTACACATGTGGCTTGTATTTCATTTCATATGTAACAGGGAACATGGAAAATCGACTTTGATGGGGGCTTTTGTGCCTGTCCATAGGGTTGGTTAGATACCCATTACATTATCTTTCCTGATGTTAACACATCAAAATTCTGAGTTAAACATTCTAAATCTTCTTAAATATATAGCTAAATTTGTACACAGAAAGATGATAGGATGGTTTTAAAAGGAAGAAGTAGGTCAACAGGGTAGTTTGTTTATTCTGAAACCATTCCTGTCCCAGACATTTTCTCATGCTAATGATTTAGTGTGGAAGACATTGGAGTTTTGGACTAGGAGAGCAGTTGAGTGCTGTAAGCAGAATTTAGACTGTTCTATTATGAGTCTGGAAGATAGTGCTGTTGAGAGTAATACAGAGAGTGGAAACCTGCAGATAGGAATAAAGGCTCCATTATCAACTGGGCTTAAAGCTGTTCATGTAATATTTTGGCAAATAAACTGGTCACATTCCACTCCTTGCCTGAGGTTAATTTCTTAGGTGGGGGAAGTTGCAAGACAGCATACATTTGGGTCTATGGCATCATTATTACTGATTACTCTTGCATAGATCTACAATGAAAAAGTAACTAATATACTTAGTGGCTTTGCTTTTAGTGGTTGTGTAGGGGCAGAAGGCAAGACTTTGATATATTAAAGAAATTGCCAAGATATCCTGTTAAATCACCAATATCTTGCATCTACTCCTATTCCACAGAATAAAAGAGTAGTTTGATCTGAACCCCTAGGGCAAAGATTTTTTAAAATAAGTAAATGAAGCCAAGATTCTCTAAATCAACATGATCAAAGTTCACATGAACTCACAGAGACTCAGGCAGCATGCACAGCATACCAGGCCCTTTACATATATATTATGCCTTTCAGTTTAGTATTTTTATGGAATTCCTGAGTGTGAGAATGAGTGTGTCTCTGTTTCTTATGCCTTCTCTAGGGCTCTTTCCCTTTTGTTTGTTTTGTCAAATCCCAATGTGTTAGTTTTTGATTTATCTTGTTTTATTTTACTTAAAAAAGAAGCTTTAAAAATTAGCAGCAAAATGTCATAAAGAACCTTTATTGAAAATAGATTAATAGTTTAAAATAGTAATAGTAAAGCTAATATTATTTGCATATATTATTGTTAATAACATATTAATTATTATTAATATTTCATATAATAAATATTATTAATAATTGAAAAGAGATTCACAAATTGAAAGACAGAGTTGAAGTAGTTGGTCACATACAGAAGGAAAATAAGAATGAAACGTTTGGAGAAAGATTGAGAACAGGTAAGACTGGTATGGATATGTTTCACTGGAGGATGGGAAATAATTGGGTTAAGATAACTAAGATTCATTCAGAACCTGAAAGGGATGCGTCTTAAGCTTTGGGAAGCACAGTTCACCTAGGCACTGTTTTGAAGTTCAAAACTTCGATGAAAAAAGGAAGGTCTTCAGTGTTTCCAGAGAGAAGACAAACAAGGCTCAGAACATTGAGACAGAACAGTGAGTCACCTGAAAGCACCCTGTTCCCAGTAGAAGTCCAAAACCAGCATGTTAATGGAGTCAGATCAACTGTCTGTCAGAAGCTGTGTTCTGCTTCCTGCCATGAGCATGAACCTGTCTTCTCATAAGTCAGCACATTATGGAACAGGCTAGCACTACACACTCTCCACCTTGGTTCAGAGGGACTGAAGAAGACACAGAGGGTCTCAGGGTGGTTTTGTCCTCCTGTGTAGAGTCACTTGTAATAAAGACAGAAGTGCCATAAGGTGAATCTTATGATCCAGGGGTAGCATGACTGTGTTCTGAGTGTTTGCTTTCCAGTGATGTTCCCGGGAGAGAGAGACTGTGCTTTGCCATTTGTACTGAAATGATTTGTATTCTTTTTGTTTGAAGCGCTCTTCAGAGCCTGTGCTGATGGAGGTGCCAACCGCTTATATGACCTCACCGAAGGGGAGAGAGAAAGGTATGCTCTGCAAGTCAGTGTCTGCTCGCCCCTCACAGTGTCTGCTGCCCTTAGTTGTAATTTTTTATGGCAACTGTTTATTTTCCTTCATATTCATCATAGGAAATTGCCTCTATGAGAAGGACTGAGCTGTGCAACCACGATGTATTATTTCTTTTGTTGAATGAGATTTCTTAGAATTAGGATCATCTCTATTCTTCTCTTTAAAATCCTATTCTGTTACTTTAAAGCCTCATTAAGTCACATTACCAAATATTGAAATTTGTGAGGACTTTGAAGATTGGCTAAAATAAAACTTCAACTGGCTATTTATGTTGGTATTAAAACACTTTAAATGAATACAGACTGGACCCCTAGAAAAGAAATATGTAGTCTACTGTGAAGATGTGAGGTTTAATATTAGTGTTGAATAAATCTAAGTGGGACTTACTCTTTCTTAATTACTTCTGAGTTACATACCTACATGTTTAGAGAGAGTTTATTTAATGATTTGCTTTCTGCATTGGGTTGTTTTCCTGATTCTTGTCTGGTGAGATATTTTTCAATGAGAGAATATGTTTGGTAGAAAGAGATTTTCAAATTAGTTCAGTTGTGAATATGTTTGTGGCCCAACTCATTTGGAAACATGAGATTTCGTGGAATAGATGTGAGTACGCTATCTGTGAAATGTGGTTCAGTCATTCTCATATGTGTCAGTAGCTGCATTGAAATGGTTGGCATTTGAGAAATCGCCTACTCTCTTCCAAAACAAAAATAAAAATATTATAGCATAACAGGCCCTGTGTGGGCATTAAACATATGTGGTTTGAAATCATGTATTTCTCTTTATGACATCAGAATGTTTAACTTCAGCTTTCTGATACCAGAGCTGCTGTGGAGAGCAGCTGCTTGCTTTCCATGGAGAAGCTGTGTTTTCTGTTTTTGTTGTTGTTGTTGTTATTGTTTTGGTATCAGATGCTGTTTGCTAATGTGTGGAGACTGGATGGGATGCAGTTATCAAAAAGACAATGATCGTGACAGCCCGGAACGGTTACATCTCATTCACTCACTGGCTGCACGCCTTCACAACTTCCTCCAACAGTATACTCTAATACCTGACATGGACAGTAGGTGGAAAACCTTCCAGGTTGTTCTAGAAAGTGCCTCAGCATGTAGTTCCCAACAGGGCATGGGGGCTCAGGTTATAAACTGGGTACTGTTTATCCCATGCCTGTAGCCTGGTAGCTATCAAGTAGTCAGCAGTTAAACATTGTTTCTCTAATGGTAGACACAGCTCAGGAACACAATAAAAAGCAGAACTTGGGAAGTTATGAACCCACCACTTCCACCTCTCCCTTAGTTATGAGAACCATCTAGAATGCTTATGAAGACTTCCAAATGTCTGTCTCGGTTATTTTCTTTGACTTAGCCAGGCAGTGGTAACAAAGTTAATAGAACACTTTTATTCGTATTTAAAAGCAGAAGCTTAGTAGCTTTTAGAAAGAACCATTATTTTTGCCTTTATTTGAATTAATTTCAAAATAAATAAAGTATTCTTCATCCTGTTTATAAATATTCTTTTGTTTTGTTTTGTTTTTTGGGACAGGGTCTCTCTAATATCACACTGTATGTCCTGGAACTCACTATATAGACCAGGCTGGCCTTGAACTCACAGATATCCACCTCCACATATCACAGATATGTGCTAGAACAAAGGTGTTATTATGCCCAGCTATATTTACAAATAATCTTATAGAAGACATTCCAAAGTGTACATAATTTATCTTACAACTGTTTGTCTACACATGAAGTTGTTTATTGAAGCAATGTAGTTAATTCTCATTGATTTTGGGGGCCTAATGATGTTTGTAATGATTCTTGCTCTATTGCCTTGGGACATGGCTGGCCTGGGGAAGGGTAGAGTCCCTAGCAGTGATCAGTGAAACTAACTGTCTTGCATGGGAATTAAATCCTTGGAATAAATCTCATTACTTCCAAGCCCTAACGAGTAAAACTAATTGGATACAGGTGACTGCATGTAATTCCTCTTAATTGTATTTTTAAACAAAAAACTTGCACAATGAAAACCAAACCAAAATAACAACAACAACAACAACAAAAAGCAAGCAAGCAAGCAAGCAAACAAAGACTCTTGAGTTTTAAAAAGCCAAATTGCAGTTTATGGGCTTGGGCTCCCGTGGAGCAAGGGAATGGGAACCTCTGAACAAGACTGAATCCACTTAGGCCTTGGCTAGGCCTGGGAGCTGTGCCTGCTCCTCCACAGACCCATAGAGAGAGAAGATTGAGGGTGGCAGGGGAGGTAGGGCAGAACCGTCTGGGAGACTCAGGAGGATGCAGTGCTGTATGACCTCAGGAGACAGCGCCCTAGCTAGGAACTGGGCTGTGGCCATTCATAAGGGAGACAGCAGATTACGAGAGAAGCTGAAGGAGATAGAGTCTGAGCACCAAGGGAAAACATTCTGCACAGTAGCGGCATGGAGTCTTGGGTTTGATGCCTCTAGATGCCCTGAGGAGGAAGACTCAAAAGTAGCTGTTGGCTTTAGCTGTTTTCAGTTAGTAGAAGTACATGACTAGTTATTGTGGAGCACAGAAAGTACATGGCTAGGCACTAGAAATACACGTTGTAAGAAAGGAGTTGTATCTAATCTTCTCTCACACTACCTAATTTTAGACCACTGGGCTAATGCTCTAAAACCTTGAAAGGTAAATGTTGAGTCTCAGACAGGGTGTGGCTCTGTGTAGCCTTTGTTAGCCTGGACACATTGTCTAGCCCAGGCTGGTATTCAACTGGAACTCTTCCCACTCGTAGCTCCAGTTGTGTGCAAGTACCTTCCCCTTCCACACAACCTTTATCACTTTCTGTTGTCACCCGAGCAGTAAACATGAACTCACCTCAGCACACTGCTGAGCCGAGAGTATAGAGCGGTTGAGTGTGGACACACACTAGAGTGCAGGCCTCTGAGCTTGTGTCTGGTTCCACTGCCATGTCATTGTGGCCACTGTCTTGAGCTCCTAACCTCTGGTGTTTTCAACTCTGGAAGCTTCCGTCTCCCACTCTGTCAGTGTATTTCAGATGCTTTATGTATGTGTAGCCATGCAGTTTCTGTAGTTGTGTGTATGACTTACTCCACTTAGTAAATACCTCAAGTCCAAGCCATGTTACTTCAGTATTTATCAACCTTTGCTTCAGTCCTAAAAGCAGTTTACCTCCAATTGTCAGGTTTTGTTTTGATGAACAGTAAAAAACATACAAAATTTCTATCGTGAAAGCAAAGAATGATAATCTGTATGATAGTGGGTAGGAAGAAAAAATTAAAAGTATCTGTACTTCTTTCTTCCTAAGAAGCAAAGAGCCTCATTAAGTCTGCATATTGATTCTCCCCTTTGAGACAATAGAGAATATTATTCACTCTCCTGCAGTTACTTGTTCAGGTGAGTGTAAGCTTGATACACAAAGCTCCTTTTCTTTGAAAGTTGCCCAGTAATATTAAATAATGATTTTTTTCTTATTAATTAAATTTATTCATTACTTTTACACCCCAAAGGCAGTTCCCCCTCCCCCACCCTCCCAAACCACTCCTCCTCTGTTTATGTTCAGAAAGGGGCAGGCCTCCCCTGGGTGTCAACAAACAATGGCATATCAAGTTAAGGTAGGCCTAAACTCCTCTTCTTGCATTTAGGCTGGGCGAGGCAACCAGTATAAGGAATAGGTTCCTGGAAGTGAGCCAAAGCATTAGGGACAGGTCCTGCTTCCTCCACTAGGATTCCCACAAGTAGGTAAAGCTACACAACTTCCACACATATATAGAGGGCCTAGGTAGGTCCCTTGCAGACTCCCTAGCTGTTGGGTTCAGAGTCTGTGAGCTCCTATGAGCCCAAGTTAGTTGTTTCTGTGGGATCCTTTGTGATGACTTTGACCCCCACCCCCTGGCTTGTACAAGCTTTCTTCCCTCTCTCCAAGAGGATTCCTCAAGCTCGACCCAATGTTTGGCTATGGATCTCTACATCAATCACTGGAAGAACACTCTCTGATGATAATTGGGTAGTTACCAATCTGATTACAGAGATGGCCAGTTTAGGCTACCTGTCCATTATTACTAGAAGTCTTAGTTAGGGTCATCCTTACAGAATTGTGGGAGTTTCCCTTGCACCAGGTTTCTGCCTGACCCCAAAATGCACCCCCATCAGGATGTCTCCTTCAGTACTCTCCCCCTTTATCCAAAAGAACCAACTCTTTGATGGATTCTACTTATTGTTAGTTAAGTTAATTTATAAAATGAATTTCTGCCCTAATCTGTAGATGTAACCAACCGTCTCATTAAATAAGAAACACAGAGCCGATTCAGAGAAGAAAGCCAAGAGGTCAGAGCTAAGAGCCTCACCCTTCCTGCTTCAGCCAAGAGAGCTCTCCGAAAGGGGACCTACTTCCTGTGTGTATGTCTTTATATATATAGTCTTTCTGTTCTGCCTTCTCATTGGTTGTAAACCCAAACACATGACTGCCTCGTCACTGCCTGTCTGTAGAGACTTCCAGGTCTTCTATGGTTGGTGTTGAGATTAAAGGCGTGTGTCTCCAATGCTGACTGAACACACAGAGATCTACCTAGCTCTGTCTACCAAGTGCTGGGACTAAAGGCGTGCGCCACCACCGCCACGCTCTTGCTATGGCTGTAATAGCTCTGACCCCGGGCAACTTTATTTATTAACATACAATTAAAATCACATTTCAGTACAAATAAAATACCACCATACTAATCCTTACTAGTTAATACTTTGTGGTTTGGAAGATTCTTGAAAGGAACCTATAGACTCAATGAAATCCTTATCAAAATATCAATGGCTTACAACACAAAGCTAGTAAAATCATTCCTAACATTTATATGAAAATATAGAGGCAATGAATAGCTAAAGCTACCCAGGGCAAAAAGGGCAATAACAGAGATAGCAAGATAACCAATCTCAAATTATACTACAGAGCCAGAGTAGCAAATCAACTTAGT